CGGGGCGGCGACGGGGGGCCCAAGGGGCGGACGCGCGGAGGCGCGCGCCGTCGCGCGGGGCGGCGGCGAGGCGGCGAGGCGGCGACGGGCCGCCACCCGGCCGACACCCGGAAGCGCACGGCATTTCGCCGAGGAGCAGAACAATCCTCCCTGGGTGCAGCTGGGGCAGCTATCTCCGCGCTTCGTCGCGCTCGGCGAAACGCGATTGTCTTCGCGCGTTCGCGCCCCCCCCCCCCCGAACAGGATGATGGACTCGCGAAGCGCGAAGACCTTCGCCGCGAAAGCGGGGGCCTGGACGTGGAGAGTGGCAGTCGGACCTGGAATCAAGAGATTTGAACGGGCAGTGGGGCCTGGAAGCCAAGAAATTGCGAGGGCAACCGGTCATGGGAACGGGAGATTTGAAGGGGCGGCAAGGTACGGATAACGAGGAGTTTAGAAGGGCATTCGGGCTTGGAAGCATGAGATTCGAACGTGCGCTGGGTCTGGAAGATAGAAGCGCAGCCAAATGTTCGAATGGACACTGGGCCTGCAAGGCATGAGTTTGGGAGGGTGGTTGGGCCAGGCACATGAAATTGGGCGCTGGGGCCTGGAACCCAAGGATTTGAACGGGCGGCGGGGCCCAGAATCGATAGATAAGTTGGATGGTCGGGCCTGGAGCAGGGGACTTGAACTGTCGGCGTTGCCTGGCAACAAGGGATTTGAACGGGCGGTCGGGCCCAGAAAAAGTTGAACAGGCGGGGGGGCCTGGAAGCAGGGGCTTTGAATCGGCAGTCTGGCCTGTAAGCCGAGGATTCGAAAGGGCGGCGGGGCCTGGAATGGGGGAGTTTGACTGGGGAGTCGGGCCTGGAAGCAAGAGATTGGAATGGGCGGCAAGGACTGGAAGCAAGCAATGGGTTTGACAAGGCCGCCTGGCCTGGAAGCCAAGGACCTGAAGGGCGGCGGGGGCCGGAACAGAAAAGCTTGACGGGCGAGTCGGGCCTGGAGGCAAGGGATTTGAACGGGCGGTGGGGTCTGGAAATCATGAGTTTGATGAGGCAGCCTGGCCTCGAAGCCAGAGGTTCGAACGGGCGGCGGCGCCTGCGCTACAAAAGGAGCTTGAACGCGGAGTCGGGCCTGGTAGCAGGGGGGGTGACCGAGCGGCTTGGGCCTGGAATCGTTGGATTTCACTTGGCAGTCTGGCCTGGAGCCCAGGATAGACTTGACCGGGCGGCAAAAAAAAACATAAACGAGTTTGGCTGGGGCGTCGGGCCTGGAGGCAGGTGGTTCGAACGGGCGGCTGGGCCTGGAAGCAGGGGGTTTGGGTGGGCAGTCTGGCCTGTAAGCAACGGGTTCGAGCTGGCGGCGGGAGCCTGGAATGGGGGAGTTTGGTTCGGCAGTCGCGCCTCTGAGAGCAGGGAATCTGAAGGGCTGGCGTGGAACAAAGGGTCTTGCAATGGGCAGTCTTGCCTGGAAGCCAGGAGTTTGAACGCGCGGCGGGGCCTGGAAGACAAGAGGAGTTGGATCGGGGAGTCGGTCCTGTGAGCAGAGGGGTCACACGGGCGGTGGAGCCTGGAAGCAAGGAGTTTGAACAATCAGTCCGGCCTGGGGGCCAACGTGGAAGTGGGAGATGCGTAAAAGGCGGCGTGGCCTGGGATTCGAGGATTTGATGGGCAATCTGGCCCTCAAACCGGGGGTTTGATGGGGCGGCGGGGCCTGGGATAAAGGAATTCGATCGGGGGCTCGGGCCTGGAAGCGGGTGATTTGAAAGGGCGGCGGGGCCTGGAAGCAAGGGACTCGAATATAGATTCTGGCCTCCAAGCCAAGGATTCGAACGGGCGTCGGGGCCTAGAATGAAGGAGTTCAACTGGGAAGTCGGGCCTGGAAACTGAGGATTTGAACGGGCTGCGGAGCGTGGAAGCAGCGGGTTCGATGAGGCAGTCTGGCCTGGGAGCCAGGGATTTTGAAAGGGGCGGCTGGGCCTGGAATTCCACCAGCCCTTTGGGCGAGAGGTGGTCTGACGAGGGTCTCTTTCCTTTTCCACAACCCCTCTTCCCTTCAGGGAGGGGAGCCCTCCCCCTCCCCTCCCTGAGGTTTTGTTTGGGAGGGGGACCGATGTGCCAGAGGGTCCTTTTTCGGCCCCTGGGAGGGTCAATCTTTGACACTACTCACGAGGGTCGTGGCCTCCGAGGGTGGAGGGAAATCGAGTACCCCCCCCTCTTATGACCGACCGACTCCAAGATGGTCCCAACAGGCGCTCCAGGGCTTCCAAGAGGCCCCCAAGAGGGCTCCAAGAGCGCCCCAAGAGGCCCCAAGAGGACTCCAAGAGGCACCCGAGAGGCACCCAAGAGGCCCCCGAGCGGCCTCAGAGAGCCCAAGATGACCTCCAAGATGGTTCAGATAGCCCAAGCTGGCTCAAGATGGCTCCCAAAATGCTCCAAGCGGCCCCAAGACCGCTCCAAGACGGCTCGAAATGGCCACGGCGCTTCCCAAGCCTCCCTCGCCGTTTGACTATGCGTGTCTCTTCCTCTCTCCCCGTCAACTCTCATGGGCATCCTTTCTGATGGGCTGGTGGGGATACGAAGCGTCAAGATATTTCTCCATGTCGGCTGCAAGCGGAGACAGGACGCGTGCGCACATCATGTGGTAGTATATGATATGTTGCAACACCCTGTCCCAAAGTACAGGCGCCTGTACCAAGCTCAGAATCAGGGCCTGGATCTCCGTGTGTAGACGATGTGCCAGCGCCGACCCAAGAAACCCACGCGGAGCTCCGAAAGGCAACTGTTATATGCAGTTTTTTTGTTCGAGTCTGGCTGGCGAGAGGTCGATCCCAGTTGGAGGCGTCCAAGGGGGGTCTGAACTGATTGGGGCTCCGGAATGTCGGTCAGGAGGGGGAAGTGAAACCAGATCCGCTCAAAATCGGTCCCCAGACCTGGACCTCTTCCGGGGTCCATCTGGTGCATTTTTCACCCAAGATCAGTTTTTCATTGTCTGGGGCCCGAAAACGGCCCCCAGAGGCCGAAACATGCAGAAAGCCTTCCTGGACCCAGAACTTCGAACCTGCCCGCCCTTCCTGCTGGCTAGAACCCAGTGCTGGGCCACCCCAGACCCCCCGGCGGCTCCGAATCCCAATCTGCCCCTCAGCTCCGATGCATCCCTCGGCTGTCTCTACCGCTTCTTGAACTCAAGTTGCCGCTGACCGGAAAAGTTCCTCGAGTCTTGCTTACAAGAGGTCGAGCCCAGTCTTCGCCTCTTCCTCGTCGACTCCCCCTCCTCGGCTCATCCTCCCATTTATCCCCAGGCGGCTGCGGCTGCTTTCTTGGCTGGCAGCGCAGCTCTCGATGGAGCAACGGAAGTCCTCACGCAGCCTCGTCTCTCTCAGTGGAATGTAGTGACCGAAACTTTGCCCGAAAATCTGCCCAAGTGTGACCGACGCTGGCGCCCGCATTTTCTCGAGTGCGCCAGGGTGGGTCCGAAACTCTTTGCTCGAAAACAATACGATGCTCAAGTTCTCGGTCACAACTTCGGCCACACGCTTTCGGGTGCGCTCCTGCTCCACCTCCTCCTCCTCCTACTCCTCTTCCTCCTCCTCCTCCTCCTCCTCCTCCTCCTCCCCCTCCTCCTCCTCCTCTCCTCCTCTCCTCCCCCTCCTCCTCCTCCTCCTCCTCCTCCTCCTCCTCCTCCTCCTCCTCCTCCTCCTCCTCCTCCTCCTCCTCCTCCTCTTCCTCCTCCTCCTTATGTTCGGTCACAGTTTCGGTCGCACGTTTTCGGGCACGTTCCTCCCCCATCCTCCTCGTGTTCGGCCACAATTTCGGGCACGTGCTCGGCCACCGATTGAATTGTCGGTCGCATGCGTTTGTGGCTGATAGAAGGCTGGGCGCCACGAAGGCGCACCCCGCCCCAGCCTTGATGGCGGCGTCAGGCCGTGAGAGCGGTCCCCCTCTGGACGGGTGGGCTGCATCGCTTTTGCTGGCGTCTTGACGAATGTGCCTCCTGCCTCTCGCAGTTCGGACGAACAGACAACACGCGCTCTTGCCCGCAGGGGGGGGACGGAGGGGGCTCTGGGTGCGTGTTGTCCGATGGGGGTCCCCGCTCGGACGGGAGCCTCCCCCGCGGTCCGACACCACGCACCCATGCCCACAGCCAGCCCTCCTCCCTCCGATCCCCCATATCAGCATGGGTGTGTGTTGTTCGTTCGTCGATGTCTGGTCCTGTGCTGCATGGGGCAGGGAAGGCATGAAACCTGAAAGTGCCCGCTATAGCGCCGAGGTGCTAAGGGTCGGCTGTGGGGGGGAATAGGGGAGCATGTGCACCATCCCTGTTCTCCTTCATCCACATCATCCCTTCTCTGTCCCTCTATCTCTTTGCCCCTGTCCCCGTCAACCTCCTCGTCACCGCAGTAGCCGTTGTCGTCGTCGTCGCCGCTTCTACTATCAGCGTCGTATTCGTAACCACCATCGCCGTCGTGCTTACAATCGCTATCGTGGTTTTCCATCGCCGTCAATATCATCGCCCCCGTCGCAATCGTCGTTTGAACTCTCTGCTGCTCGGCTCCTCTGCTCTGTTTGCACGCGGCCCATCGTTTCGCAGAAAGGATGCCGCGCGCCACGCGCGCCATGAGAGAGCGAGGATGGCGAGGAGCAAGAAAGAGGAGGATCAGAACGAGAGGGAGGGTGGAGAGGAACGGGAAGGTGAGGAGGAAGGGGCGGATGAGTACGGAGGAGTAGAGAGGAGGAGGAGTAGAGAGGAGGAGGAGTAGAGAGGAGGAGGAGGAGAAGAGAGGAGGAGGAGAAGAGAGGGGGAGGAGAAGAGAGGGGGAGGGGGAGGAGGAGGATGAGGATGATGATGATGATGAGGAGGAGGAGGAGGAGGAGGATCCAGGAGAAAGATAGAGGATGAGCGAGGAGAAGGAGGGTCGGACGGGGGACGGAGAGGAGAGAGGAGGAGAAAGGGCCGGACGCGGAGGAGGGCCCCAGAAGTCGCCGCCGTCGTCGTCGCTCCCCGGCGGTCCAGCGTGACGCCTCGGCCTTGAACTCCCAGACGGTCCGTGGCTGAAGGCTGGCGTCCACCAGCACCATGCCCTTCCGGAACGACCCCTTCTTGAGGGTCTCCTGGCCGCGGCGACGACGCCCGGGAAGCCCTCTGCCCGTGGGGACGCAGCGCAGGGGCCCCGGCGGAGGCCTCAGGGAAGACCTCCGGAGAGGAGCCAGACCTCCGATCGGGCGTGTTCCTGCTCGACGCTGCAGCGTCGATCCAGGGAGGGAAAGCACCATGGTGCTCTTCCTCGATCTCGTCCTCCAGAGGGGGGGCTCATCCTTCTCCTCGTGATCGCCGTCGTCCCGTTCCTCGTCCTCCTCATCCTCGTTCTCATCATCGTCCTCCCTCGTCCTCCTCGTCGTCGTCCTCCTCCTCCTTCTTCTCCTCGTCCTTCTCGTCCTCGTCCTTGTCCTCCTCGTCGTCCTCCTCGTCCTTATCCGCGGGGGGGGGCGGGGGGAGCGTTTTCGGGCCTCGGGGCAATGGAGAAGACCGCCCAGGGGAAGACGCTGCCACGGAGAGGGGCCGAGAGGTCCTGAGGCCCAGGCCACGAACGGATCATGGCGTCAGAAGTGTGGGGGCGACGCCCGCACACGGAACTCGCCACGAGCTCGCCGACAACGACGGCGGCTCTTCTGTGCGTTCCGGATGTCTTGAAGGGTTGAAGGGTTTGAGAGGCTCTTCGGAGGTCTCTTGGGGTCTCCAGGAAGTCTCTGGAGGCCCCCAGCGGTACGACAAGTGCCCCAAGCGTTAATAAAAACATCAGAGGAGAGGCGGGGGGAGGAGTAGGGGGGTGAATGGGAGAGAACGTGCGAGAAGAGGGGGAAGTGGAAGAGGGGGTGGTGCGCGTGGACGGTTTCGTGTGCGTCCCCTGGCACGGCCTCAACGGCAAGGGCTAGCCGAGGACCTGCGCTGGGAACAACAGGTGGCGACATCCGAACCCTGCGGCTGGTTCGCGTCGCGATGTCGCGGGCGTTGGTTTCTGACGCTGAATGAACCGTTCAACCTTGAAGGATCGCGGCTCTCCCATGAAGCAGGTCGCTCGGTTTCGGCCGATTCTGGATCACTGGCGGCGTCTAACCTTGAACTCCCGCGCTAGGGTCGCTGCCGCGTCAACGCGGCGCAAACCTATTGCACCCCCACCGACCATCGATTCTCCTTAATCGATGGGAAGCGGCGGCAGGGCTCGCATTTCGCCACGTGTTCGACCGATTCCGAAACGTATCCCCGCCGCCCATCGAGTCGTCCGAAGCCATGGAAGGGCTTGGATGTCGCCGCCGAAGCAGGCGGCACCGAAAATCAACATCGGCAAACGCTGGAGGCATAAGTGGTGACGTCAGCGGCGCACAGCGGTTGCGCCAATTTTCGGTTGCTCGTGCCGCCCTCAGTTCTAGTGTGCACGGCAACGTACTGGAGAGCGGCAACGAGGGTGTCCCGGGTGGGCGCATGAGCGCCGAAAGGAAAGGGGTCTCACGCGAGATGACATAGCGACCCTACGCGGCGGCTTGCGCGGGCCGCCGGCGCGGTACGCCACACTAGTTACGAGGGCGCTTGCGCGCGACCTTACGCGCCAATGTATGCGCGAATGTCGGCGCAATCGAAACCTTTGTTGGCGTCGCTCATGTGGAACTCGCCGTGACGACGTGGGCGATCACGTCGACGGCGACGATGGTCACGGCCGCGGCGAAGGCCCTCGGAGGCATTCGGACGGTCTCGGCCATCCGCCGCCTTCCGCCCGCACTTTGCCAATGTCGCTTTCCGCCGAAAAGACGTGCGCCTGCTCGGTAATATGCGCACCCTTCTCGTCCTCCCAATGGCCGAAGGTCCTGGCCCCGGAGCCTGGTATGATGTGGTCCAGGTGATCCTCCACGTGGTCCCAGGCCAAGCTTGCTCGAGACATGCTGGTGCCCATGTCGTCGTAGGCGGCGCCGATAAAAAGGTCGGACGTCTTGCAATCTGCATGCCGTATCGGCTCGGCGGTACTTGACCGTCATCTTGCCTCGAACGGAGTCAACAAACATGACCGCCCCAAGGCCGGCACAGCCCGACACGTCTTTCGCGCTCGGGGGGCCTGTCGATCTCCACCTGGTCGCCGACGCTGAATCGGCCCCCCCTGGACTCGGTGGCGCGAGTCAGGAGGGCGCGGTAGACGCGTGAGATCGACGCGGCCTCGCTCACGCGCTGCGGGGCGATTTCTTCGATGCGCCACTGCAGTCGGCTGGGCTGCGCCCCTCCGCCAGCAGAAGGGCCAGCGCTAGCGCCGCAGGCACCGGGTGCCTCGCCCTCTTCGTCCGCTTCGAGGTGGTTGCAGCAATGAGGGCTGCCGTCCGAAAACGATGTTGCACGCTGCAGCGCCGCCCGCGCGGGTGGTGCTACTGCCGGCAAAAACGGCGCGAGCCAGCATGGAATCGAAGTACGCTGTGACACCTTCGCCCTCTAGCTGCTCTTTTGCGGCGTGAAGTGCGCGTCGCAGCATGGCGCCACGTCGCTGGGTGAAGCGAGCGTGTTGACGAGGGCCCCGAATATCCATTTGTACTCCTCGCCTCTTCATTTCATCTCCTCCACGAAGTACGGCGTGGCCATCCCGCCCTCGCCGTCCACGAGGAACGTCTCCATCGCGCCGAACAGTTGAATACATGAGCGGTCAAGCAACCGTGAGGCGCAGCAGATCAGGAGCATGATTATGTGATCCCTGCAGCGCGGGATGTCGCACTCGACGCGCTGGCTGATTCGTGTCGAAGGGCGGAGTGTGCACTCCCTACAAGTGGGGATGACGTCTAATCTGTGTGGTGGTATGTTGGCTGCTCGTAGTGCTCGTGTCGCGGCGTGCCTCCAGCGGAGGTGTAGCTTCTTCAGCTCCCGTGCGCGCGTCTCATGCGAGTCGCCGTGAAGTGCTCGTAGGGGCGTGGTGGCGTCGAGGCGAATCCAGTCTGAGGGCGTCGGGTTGCCTACAGCTGCGTCGGCAGCTCGCGGTGCTGCCAGTCTAGGCACCGTGACTGTTGCTGGACTGGCTCGCATCCACGGTCGAGTGACGCAGTCGCCCGAAACCCGAACCACTACCCTGAGTTCCAGCGCAAGATGATGAGATGGCGCCTGAGTCTCCTGCGAGCGCGGGTGGCAGGGCAGCCTCGTCTGCTGCTCCAAGATCTGCGCCACTGGATAGGCGAGCCTGCTGATCGCAGGAGTGACGTGACCCCCCAGGCCGTGCCAGAGCTCGCGGGCGCTGGCCGGCGCGCGGGCGCGGCCGAGCGCGGGGGCCCGCGAGACTGCACTTGCTGAAATCACGGCGGTGCATGGTGCAGTAGCATTCCATCTCCTCCTTGCAGCCGAGGCGATCCTCGTGGATCGGGGCGCTGTGGGGGTGGCGGCGCGTCGCCAGGCCCCTGGAATGCATTGGCGAGTCTGCCAACATGTTGCGCCCGCGCTCCTCGCAGGTGTATCGCGCGCGCTCTTCTGCCACTTCGCGTCTGATCTCGCCCTCCGCGGCTCCGGAGGTCACTGGGGGGAAGGCTACTGATTGGGCGTCGCAGGAGGTGCGGGCGCATCAGACGGCGACGTGAGTGCACCAACTATACCCTGGACAAGTCGCTCGGCCATCTTCCATGGCCAAATCTGGGCGTCGAAGCTATTGTGGCCCTCGACGTGCACGTGGGCGCGTTTGCCTATGCATCTGAAGTTCGCGAACAGCTCGAGGATCTCCGGAGCATTGGAAACCAGCCTGGAGGTCTTTCTCAAGATGTCTCCACGACGAGCTGGCGCCGGTCGAAGACGACCTTGCCCGCGCCCAGCGCCGCCAGCACCTCTGGCCAGAGCGGCTCGCCGCACGGCCATGATGGGTCGGGCTGCCCATCTGCGAAGTAGCCGCCCAGCTTAAGCTGAAGTTGTGCGAGGCAGTCGCGAAATCAGCCGCGCGGGGCCACGCCCTCGCAGGAGCGCAGCCAGGAGTGGAAATTCTGCTTGCGGTTGAAGGTTGCCCAGCGACTGGCGCCGCAGTCGACGCAGGGGTCCTCGGCGACCTGCTTGCGCGTCTTGGGCGCATGGCCCTCCATCATACTCTTCTTTTGGCCCATGCGTTGTCGACGCAGTCATCGGGCGCCTCCAGCGGCTGATCGCGCCCGCCCCGCACCGGGCACAGGGAGTCTGGAAAGTGCGCGACATATTCCTTTTGCGCAGCAGGGGGGCTGGGGCCCCCGCCCCCCTGGAGGTCTACAGGAGAACTCTGGCTAATTTCGGCTCGTTCTCGGTCGCGAGGTGCGGGGGTGCGCGAGGCCCCGTGCGCGCTGCAGGGTTTCGTGCTTGCGTGGTACCATGGGACTAGAAGATGTGTTCGAGTCTGGTGAGCAGACTGCCGTCGCGCCTCGCTGAGAGCGCACCTTCTTCGACGCGCCTCCGCTAGACGGAGCGCATCTGCAGCGCGGTGCAAATCGCAACGCTTCGCGGCGCATCAGGGCCGCATGCGTTCGTCGTTCGATGGCCGCCCAGTCGTCGATGCGCCCTCCAGATTGATGTTGCATCCGCGCAGGGGGTTGCAGGATTGGCGCCCTGGCAAGCGTCGTGAAGACAGCGTTGCTGCGTTTGGCCTCTGGGGCCAGGAACTCGTCGCAAGCCCGATGCTAGCTCAAGTGGAGCACGTGGGCATCGATCATCTGTTGTGCCAGTGGTCGTTTCCATTGTTGGCCATGCTGGGTTCCAGGGCCCAGGCGGGGCGTCCTGGCCCTGCCCACTTCTGCCGGCGCAGGTCGGCAAGGCCAGCCTGGCGGGCCGGCCCGGCTATCTCCTAGCGAGGCAGCTCCCAGGAGTCGTCGGTGCCACAGGCGCCGAGAAACTCCTCGGATATCGCACTGCCAACCTCTTTCGTGGTGGAGTCTTGGCTGAGGAACGCCATGCCGGTTGTCCAAAGCCTCCGGATCCACAAGGCGACGGAGACTGGTTGGGAACGACCACGATCTCGGCGTCGTCAACGATGTGCTCCAGCTTGAGCCGGGCGATTCGGCGGCCCTGCTCGACCGCGTGCGTCCGCGGGAGGGCGTTGGACATGATCGCT